CGCTACAGGTCGCTCCTTTTTTCGTATTAATTTATTCGCATTTTATAAAGCTGAGCGGCTAAGGAAGGTCAATAAGTTCAGGAGAATACACGAGAAAGCGTGGGTTCGTTCGTGCCTCGTGAATTCGTAAATTAAGAATCCACACTTGCGAGCGTATTCTTCGACTTAAACTATTGCGTCAACAGAAGTATAAGAAAGAATGTTGCAACCTAACGCCACTTTTTCTTTATATATCATCTCAATGAAGGCCATTCGTTGCAGAAATGACGATAAGACATGAATCTGGGACTAAGAAATGCTTCCAATTTTGTTAGGAAATACTTGAATTGAATCTCTATAGACTTTGTACACCAGCGCGGAAGTGGTTTCAGGTTGCAACATTTTTTTTCCTGGCGTGTTCAGCATGTGTATCGCCACACCTGTACAACCAAGTCATTGCGTGTGTATATGCTCCATACGTCAAAATAGATAGTTCAGACGACGATTTTATTCTGACTAAAAAATAGATTTTGCAGTGACGGCGGAGAATCTGACAGTGAAGATGCATTGCAATTTTCTGAAAGCAAATTTTCACGCAGACGGTCCTATTCATGCTCGTTATGGAGAACAATTGTCCGACGTGTTCAAAGTGTGGATTCATAATTCCGAATCGACACTTTACTAACGATTCGTCGTTCCGAATCCACGCTTTGTGACCAGTGTAAGAGATTCGTAGATCCGAATCAACACTTTTTAACAATAGTGTGACGTAAGGGGGTAGTCATCTGTATTCCTCTTCGTTTTAATAACTCACATAATTCTTTAGAAAGACACTTCCTTGGCAAGCAGCAAATTATGAATTCTCAGTGGGGGGCACCTGGGGAGATGGGAATTTGCCATTTCCTCTACATTTTAATTTTCACATCATTTTGATGACCAAATTCTTAAAACTTGAGTCAAAAAGTCTTCTTTTTTTCAGCAGCCTCACACCCCTTCCAATCAAAAATAATTATTATTATGCAAAGCGCTACGGGAACTAAGACAAAAACAAAATAACAGTAATGCCGGGCAGGCCCTTTGAGAACCAAAACTTACGATTTTCTAAATTCAATGAGGGCCAATCTGCACTGGGTGACATTTTTAATACCTAATTAAACACTTACATAATTTATTCCATTAACAGGCGGCTAATTATGGAACTTTAACTCGTTCTTAAACACAAATGCTGAGAGGTATCCATTCTTAAGTTGTGGATCTTACATTTTAGTCACGTTAATTAGCTTTTAGTGAAGGTTTCGCACATGTGCTCAATATTCTAATTAACGGTCAAACTTAGCGCTAATTAGGGCATTATTAAGCATGGAACGCACGGGATTTCTCATTCTTAAGTTATTGGTCATTGAACACTAGTTATTGGTTAATCGAATACTACCTTTTCGCGCTGGAACCGTGCTTATGCACGATTTGTTAATGAAAAGTCAAGTTTGGGGGGTCTTTATGGTGCCCCCTCCCAAATGCACGGGGTGAGACACTAGAGAATGACGGTCTTGAAGGTTGGACTCCCCACCTACTCGCTGCCACCATCAATCATACCTGACGGCTTTAATCCGTAGAAGCAAGCCTCTCCTTCTTAACTAAAGAGTCCCTGCAATGAACTTTCCCGAGGAACACATTTTGTGCAACTTTTTACTATTCTTGAAATGTATGAAAACTATATATTTGATATACTTTTTTGGTTAATCTTACTGCAAAGTGCACCTAATAATATTCTTTAAACATTTGAAAGTGTCCATGCTTTTCCGGACTGTTGCTGTTGCTGTTATGCCATTTCAGGAAGACATTGTTCAGATTTAGGGGTTTTCTGTTCAAATCGTGAACCCAAAATGTGCTATTTGAAAACGTTTTTGAAAAAGGGATACTCATTGGCTTACTACAATGTACCATCGTAAAAAAAAAATCACCAAAGAAAACAAATTCATGACAGCAAAATATCCAAAATGCTAGCAACTGTTTGTGCTGAAATAGCCGGGTAAAAGGAAAGGCATCAAAAATGCCTCTAAAAATGGAACAATAAAACTTGAAAATAAGGTTAAAATGTGATACAAAGATGTATTTTCAAGGTTTGCATTGAAAAATTAACTTGCATGGGCCCTGTAAATAGGTGTTCAGACAGACATACGCTTGAATAAACCTAAAGGAGTGGAACTGTGATCGTCTCATGGAAGTGGCCTATGAAAACATTTGAGACATTTCCCAAGAGACGTGTTCCCGATGGTGAAACCATTGCCAAACATATATGCCCCGATGTCTTGCACGTCAAGAAATCGTCAACGTAAATATTCTTGCAACGTATTAATCAAGTAGAAAAGATCATCAGTGAAAAAAAAAATCATTTCATTGCATACATCTTGTTTCCCTCATAACAGTTAATTGGTTAACTTATAAATTTTTACAGTTACCAAGATTTCGGGGAAAATATCAACCTCGGAGGAAAATAGGAAAATATCAATTCAAATATCTCATTAGCTTGAATGACCAAACGATGAAAGTGATTGCCCATAAACGAATAAGAAACGGAAAGCATGGTTATACGTTAAAGGCACACCGACGTTCGCTACTTTGAATGCGTCAACTATCAAACTATTTCACAGACGTTATTTAAGAATGCTACAAAGTAAGTATTGAATGCACTAAAACCAAATAGAATGTCCCGAAACGAAAACCAACATTCGGTGCAAAATCTGGGGTGCCTGAAAATGAAAATAAATGTCCCCCATTTAAAAAGAAACCTTCATTTGATCACGTGTAAAAATAACGATAGTTGAATGGCTGATAATGAAAATGGTTAGAACAATTCGTAAAGTGGCCGGGAAAAGCTATACTTACGGTTGATATGGAGTACGTTCGAGTAGCTTGCACATGTAAGTAAAACATACACGAGAGCGTTCGATTGGCCATCACGTGATAATCGTGGCTGCCCCGCTGTGCATGTGAAACACCAGCTTCAGAAAGATCACATCAAATACGCGCAATTGTTTGAATGAATGAAATAGACAAAAGGAGCACTAGGCAGTGAGATCATCATTAGACTATTTTTAATAAACGTCGTTTCAAGTAAGCTTGTGGTTGGTGTGTTTATCGTCAATAGTCCCGATGAACCTTGTATATTTCCATGTGGTCCATTTTAATTCCTTGCTGTATAAAGTAATGCAGTAGTTTGAACAAAGTAATAAAGTAAATCGGATAGAACGTTCTGTGTAGTTTTTTTCTCCCCTTCCCCCGGATCTCTGGTGCGGAGTATCTATTTCAAGAAAGATCTAAGAACCTGCATGTGCCTTGCCAGGAAACCCCTTAGAGAGGTACATAATTTCCGATAACCGTCTTGCCGAGAAGCAGTCTGAAAAAGACCATATTTATTGTAATTTGTCGCCCTCTCACGGTGACAAACATTTCATTCCTGGGTGCAAACCTGCACAAAAGTTCCCATAGACACTAGTGCTAAATGCGCATACTTCAAAATTCTTTTAAAAATACTCAAAACTCTCACAGATATTCAAACTGCACAGAAAAAGGATGATCAATGTGTCATCTTTCATTTTCTTTTCATTTTTTGGTGGGTTGACCATCGACTTTTCGAGATATTCTCACCCAAAGAAGACGACCCCTATTTTCCCCAAAGCGGAAAAGTTGCCGTCTTGAAAAACGATCCCTCCACAACATGGTAAAATAGCGCCACTTTCGAGCCCAATAGTATCCAAAGTGCTCAGAGTTTGAAGCTCGAAGTCCGGGCCACTGGTTCATTACCATATCTCTTCAATTCCCCAATTTTATGGCTCTCAAAACTCTTTTATATATAATATTTTGAGGGTATAACTTGTATTCATGAGCTCAGCGGACGGATTTTTGGCATTTTTACAGGCGCGCACCCTCAAGAATCATTTCCCCAGTTAGCGCTTGCAGATATTCATTGAACATTTTAAATACTTACAGGCTGACTTTGTACCCCAAATTGGTGTTACATGTTATCGGTAATAATTCAATTTTGGAAGAGTAGGTAGTTTATCTCCAGTCGTACGGGATGTATTTTCCCGAACAATGTTTTACCAAGAAATACAAGACGTATAAGGTGAAAACCAGACAATATTTGTTTTTCAAAGGGAGCAATATTTTTTTGTGCTGATTACTCCAAATCTTCCATCTTTTACACAATTGCAATGAATTGGCAGTACTTCAAGTGACTTTATCATCAATAAGAAATCCTACAAATATACCCCCCCCCCCCCCCCCCCCCCCCGCAGGGCCGTAGGCTCGTAGCCAGCCAGATGGTAGCCTTTAGTCAAGTCCCACGCGCTTAGGCGGGCGGGCTAAATACCCCCTGTTCATTTACCGTGGGACGGTTTTGTTATTGAGGAAGTGTGGGACCCTTCAAGCCAAAGCGGGAGACGGTCCACGCATGAACGCACACGGTACAGCCGTGCATGGTGACGGTTTGCAGTGGGGCTTGTATGTTTAGGGCAGACAAGAGATTAGAGGATTAGCAATGTACCAGGTCTTTGCGGTCGGTGAGTAGAAGCCGCCAATGATGGGTATGAAACCGCAGGATTCATTGTTATAAAAATGATTATTTGTAGCGGGAGCCGGGAGTGCCAACCGTGGGACGGTTTGTAGAAACAGGTCACCCGCTTTCTTTTCAAGCGGGAGCCGATAAAAGAGGGGCTCAATTGAAAGCGGCTCCCGGTAAGTGAACAGGGGGTATTTAGCCTGTCCGCCTTACCCGGACACGTGACGCACCATGGATGCTGACACGTAAAAAGACTAGCACGAGCGGTGATGCGCGAGGGCCTTTACCATCTCGTGGAGAACGCTTATGTTTTTCTTCACATTAGTCTACCGATTTGGTAGACATGCACAATGCATTACCCATTGTGAATTGACCAATGAAAATGCAGAATTACTAACGTAAATCAGCCATCGTCTGGCGCCAGACAGCACGCGCGCCATTTCTTTTATTAAACCTTGAATAAAAGAAATGTCTATTTATATAAAATAAACCGAGATTGTTATTAACATCATAAACAAATGAACAAAAAGTAAAAGTTATGGTCCATAATAGAAGTTAGCTCCGTTTCGCGCCATATGATGCATTTTAAAGCAGGCGGGAAGGTTTAAAATTGCTTTCTGGGACATGTAACAAAATTAGCAGGTCACATAGAACGATCATAAGCATGAACCCAAATGCAAATTGATAATGCCAAGCTCGTGCAAATGCAATATCGCCTTGAATTCTTTGGTGAAACTGTGAGCTGACGAGCCTCGTCTGCCGTCGTGGTAGTGGTATGGTAACGTCTTGCCCTCCAAGGATTCGGCAAACGGCCAGAAACCGAAGACATCAATTCGGTCACACAGATCGAAGATGGACGTGAACACGTGCAGACCTGTTTAAACGAAATGAGATTTTGGTCTTGGGTACGACATCAGTAGAGCCACAAAAATAAAAGATACAGAAACAACTGGGAAAGGGAACATAGTAAAAGACATCAGCCAACACGATTGTACATACAAACAATAGGTCAGCATGAATCGTATAAACGTCTGTGAAAACCTTCCAGATTGTATCGGACAGCAGAAGGAAGGAGGTATAGGAGGGAAGCCATTCAATAAATCCACCTTCGCCTTTTAAAAAAAAAACTGTTGTTGGGGATCATAATGTCCGAAAGGTTAACGGGCTGCAAATTCCTGCACTTGTAATTTTTTTCTCGAAAATAATGGCTTACCTGTTGTGGTCCAGCCAGTTACATTCAACGTTTTCTTCCAAAGCTTTGCCACGGTGGTGTAGTGGTCAGGGTGGCCAAGGATGGGCGTGACTAGCTTGGAATATCGGGCAGCACTCGCGACTCTGAGGAGGGTTCGATGATGCAAGGTGGAAGCAAATGCTGGCAGCCACAGTTGGCTGCCCTTAAACTGCTTTAAGACTTCCTCAAAGTCTGCATAGTTTTGCTTGGTCCTCAGCCTATTAAACCTGTAAGGGTGCAGCATAAAACCGGTCTTGTTTGGTATATTCATTTTATTATTGTTTAACAGCACCGAGCAAACAATAACAGTCAGAGCTTGTTGGCACCAAATAATAATGTATCGGTTTGAGAGTGCTATACTAGTATAATTAAACTATTATCTCATCCGTTTAAAAATTGACCAAAATAATAACAAACAATAGAGGCTGTAGAATTTTGAGCGGGGTCTTTCCCTGATACGCAATTATAAACAATGTCGCGAACAAAGCACTGTCATTCACGAACCCCGGGTGGCTGCCAATACGAACACGTCTTGTGTTCAAGAGTTGTAAAAAAAAAACTGAGTGTCTCAAAAAGGGCAGGGGAAAGTATCACTGCAAAGGACTTGTAGGATCATCAACAGAAATCTTCGAGGAATAAGGAACACACTTTAGAAATCAAGTCCAGATGAACCTCAGCAAAAGTTTCCTCTGAAGTAAGCGCGCATCTTGCTGTGCTTATGCTTATGCTTACGGTCTCCATGAAATAGATAACGTTTCTATTTACATAAAATCGTGTGCTGATATATTCATGCCCTATAGTTTATATTTATGCCCTATAGAACAACGCAACAAACATGAATGAAGGCGTTATGTGACCTCTAGCTGCAATCCTGAATTTTTATGCATTTGTGTTTATGTCGAATTTTTTTTTTATTTTGTAACATTTGAGTGTTCCCGTTGATTTTCTTTACCTTTGACCCCTCCCTTCCACAATCCTGTTGTTCACATAACAACCTCCCTTCCCATGCCTTCCATCCCCAAGACAACTTCCCTATCCTACTTGTATCAACCTCTGCCCCTGTGTACACCCAACCTTTCCATCCTCTTTTCCCAACCTTTTTCATCCTGTGCGGTTTTACAGCCTGTTTGTACAGAATTTTAAAAAGGAAGCCTGGTTTTTATTGCATTTGTATTTCACTAAACTGTTTTTCTCGATTTTTACTGTTTGTTTTGTATCTGTGTACTTTAATACCATACATGTTTTCCCAGCTCCATTCCCCTCAACCCGTCCCTATCACTCCCTCCCTTCCTATGCCCTTTCATGATGGTTATTCTTTAAATCTCTGTGTAATTTTATTTTTTATGTAACTATTCTGCAATTCCGCTGCTGGCGGCGATAGAATAGAACAATAAACCATTAATAATAATAATAATAATAATGTGGGGCAAAGAGTTGGAATACTCAATTAGTGGAGAGATTTCGGGCCAGACAAAGGAAGAAGATTAATAGGGCAATTATATGCACTAACCTTTTGTATACTAATGAAGGGTTTAACGTCGTGAAGTGTGTTTTGATGCCAACGTCGGCTTCATAGCCTTTCACATAAGCCAAGTTGAATCTGTTGGAATAATAGTAATATAATGGAAGACACAATTTTAGTGACCGGTTAAGCACGTGCGTAATGGTACAGTCAACGAAAAGCGAGTGTTGCACCACAGAGCATTTATTCAGAGAGGTTTTCGTGAATTTAAATGACCTACCTGAGGACAAAGTTTGCCTTGTCTATGAGATTTCCACATCGGGATCCGTTCAGTACACCGCTGGAGCCAACAACACTACAGGTCCGATGACGTCTACGTTTATATATTGTATCCTGTAACAAATTATGTTAATTAGGTGTGATAAAAGCAACATTTTAATTTATAAATTATACAAAATTTACACAAAAGTTTTGCTTCAAATCTTGAATCATTCATGCGACACTTGACATTTCAGTTCCCAAATCAGTCAATTCAAGACTTATGCACAATGAGCAACGTGGGCAAATGTTGAGGCCTAATTTCATTTTTGTGAGATTTTTTTTTGTCCGATACCTGCATCCTAGACAACTATTTTAAGTGTTTTTCCTTAAAAAGATGGTACCAAAAATAAAAATATAAAAAAATAATTAAAAAGGTAGGCCTTTCATGTATCCGAGCAACCAAAGTGTTGAGATCGTCAACTCTATGTGATTGATTTCAACTTTTAAGATGTTTGAAAGCAATAAAAAGACATTTTGCGTAAAACGCGTTAAAGGTTTGAAAATTCTGCCTTTCTTTTTCACACCCTTCCAGTTTATGAACATCGGACGGTCTTTAGTGTTTCCCAAAAGTAATGCCAAGTGATGCATCAAAACATAGTTAGTTTTTGCCGAGTAGGAATAAGCAGATATTTTCGGATACGAGTGTTTCCACAGGTAACTTGCATTTGGTGTCATATCGAGATTTCTGCCACATTTTTGTTGTTGTTGTTGGGGAGGGGGGGGGGGAGTACATTTGGTTGACTTACCCTTGGAAGCGATCTCCACAAGGTTTTGGACATTAGCATAGAGCCACGAAGATAAAAGCTGATATTTTGGTCCAGCCGCGTATTTTGTCGTGTTGCGATGAAATTTTCAAACCGTCCTTCTTTCCCTAGAGCAGCTCGTAAGTCGACCCTGTCAAACAATGTGAAAAAGGGAGAGATCCGAAAGACTGTTCACCGTCAATCAATCACACGCTCGTATCATGCATTTGGCACTTTGAAAACCAACCACCCTCACAGTTTGGCCCGGAACTTCTTGACATGTAAGTTTTCGTCAAACCCTTGCTAGATTAGGTTAAAGGGAATATACATCATTTGCTTTTGCTGTAATTTTCAGAAATGGATGGAATTGGGGGGTTGGAAATATATAGCAAATATAGTTACACTGACTTTTTGGAGGTTTTGGGTTCGAAAATGCTATAAAAACCAAGAAAAACAATCATTTTCTTGTAGTCTGGTTCCCTGACTCCATTTAGGAAGAAACAGAGCAGTTTACATATATTGGGGAATTGTAAGGTAAGGGAACCAGTCTAGCTGGCTTGTACCCGTTCATAGGTGTGTAATCGATTGCAAACAAGTGTGATGGTCAACTGGGGCCAGTATTAGAAAAAAAGCCAGTTTTTTCCAACGCTGATCAGCCGATCAGCGTTGGAAATTGATACAAAAATACCACTTTTCTTGAAAATGACAGTATACCAGGTGCCATGATTTTATAGTATGCTTTACACTGTCATTCACTAACAGTCCAGCAAGGTATTTCAAAATGATTTGGTAGTTTTATTTTTTGATGTTTGCAAATGTTGTATTTTTCCTTTAAGGAGTTGAATATTATAAAAAAAAAAAAAAAGGAAATGTATTTCAGTGCTCTTACCTGAACTCCTTTGCATTGCTTGAATTGTACACCCATTTCTGCTTGCTGATGGCAGCGAGGTAGCTAAAAAGCTCGGAGTCGTTTTGAGAGTAACGAGGGGCGTACTTCTGTGCAAAGACACTGGATAGAGGATTATGATGAAAAGGGACAGTCGTCGTAAAAGTCATATTACACTCTTGTAAACACTAAACGTAAGATTATGTAGTCATGTAGTCGGAAAAAAATACTACACCCGAGAGCATCGTTAATCAGTTTTAATTAGCTGAATTTGTTATCAGTATTTTCTGTCTTTTAAGATCATGCTTGTTTATATCAAAGTATGAGAGGGGTAAAGACATGAGAAACGGAGCAATGAATCAACTACGAGGATGTTTCCTCGTTCCGCTTTGAACTTCGGCAAAACGTGTTTCCTCCTTCTTCGTGTTATTTGTCCCTTCATTAATTGAAACAAAATGATGGATGTCATAGGAAAAATAATGAAAAGAGGTTGATGCTGCACTCTCAAAAAGATATGTGAAAAAAGAATTAGGTAAAAATAGTTATGTAAAATAAAACCTAATTTATGTCAGATTCACCGGAAAAAAAGTCCTTGAAAACACGTACATTTAGTAAAGTAAAGCAGTCAGTTTGGCTAAGATGGAGAACACCATGACATCGGTGAAACTCTGGGGTATGCCGCAGCTATTTTCGGTTTTTGAAGGCAACATTTTCAAAAGCTTTTGTGATTGTCATACCGTCCCCAGTCCACAGAAATGCCTGGACACTTTGCACAAGAAAATGTTACAGGACATTATGTAGTGTACTACATGCTCATAATTGTACACCTCGTTTCCAATGGTAAGCCCGACAGAAAACTTTCTTCCTGTATCCTGATTCGATGCCGCAATCGGCTAGTTATTGATTTATATCGTGTAGTTAATGTTGATATTTCCAACGTGCATTACGTGTTTTCACGATCATTGTTATTCTAACGTCAACGCCTTCTCTAAAATGCTCCTTTCCTTTCCAATTTGCTCATAATAATATGCAATGTGATACTGCATATTGGCGGGATAAGATTGTAACATTTTATCTTCGAAAACAATCGTGTTTTCGTAACTCACAGCGCGACGAATTGATTGTGTTTTTACCCCAGTCATCGCATACAAAAGCAAACGCTAATGTAATGCACAGGCAGGCACCAGACCACTATTCCTCATTTGCATACGTGTTCAAAAATGGTGCACATGCAAATGATCCAGTACCAGGGTGAGAGAGCAGGTAGTAGTGGGCGCGTACTGCTCGACACCCTGGGGACGAATATCCTGTCGTTTCTAATCGTGCAAAGTGTCGATGAATTTCTGGTGATTAGTGATGGTATGACAATCACAAGAGCTTTAGGAAAATGTTACCTTCACAGACCGAACATATTTGCGGCATACACCATCGTTGTCAAAGACGTAGTGGTGTTCTCCATCTTCACTTAGGCCTATACGCTATAATTTGCTGCACCGCATGTTGGCCTACGTTTTCAATTTGGAATAATCTATGTTAAAGGAATCAGTTAAATTATGTTCAATAACAAACACACTCTAAGCAGTTCGGGAAAGGAAAATATAAATTGAAAATGAAACAAGTGGTGTTTTGATTTTGTTTCTTCAATGAGAAAGCATAATTTTAACGTGGGAATGAAGTGTTGCTTTACCTGAAAGTTGTGTAAAGTTTACTTAGTTGTCTTTTACCTAATGAACATGTAAATACAGGGTGTCCTGAAAATAATGGTGCATGTTAACCCCGCCCTTTTCGCCAATTTACAACCGGAATTTACTGAAAATGTTTACACAATCTGCAAGGTTACAGATTTAGCTTGAGAATACCATTTGTCTAATTAAGATTGCTTTTCCAATCCAGAGATATGATTGAATAACTGCAAAGCCAAAAAAACAAAACAAAAAAAAACCCAAAACAACAATTCTGTGCCACGTTTAGGAAGCGAGTACTTCAAAGATCAGACAATAGCAGTATGGCTCTTTTGATAAGATTATCCCTATGAGTGTAAGACAAACATTCCATTCATACGACAATATAGGGTTTTGTTCTTATGTTGAAACAATTTAAAAGTACAGACAGATTCACTTCTTTAAAACTTCAATGAAAGAGTTCAATATTGCACACTCTGCTTAAAATCACTAACAGTAATGATTTGGTTTTAGACTAGGACTATACTGATTTTAACTGCTTCACAGAAAGTGGCACAAAATGAGTTTCTTGGCTTTGCCGTTATTCAAACATATCTTTGGATTTACAAAAGCAATCTCAATGAAACAAACGGTATTTTCAAGCTAAATCTATTACCTTCAAGATGATGTAAACATCCGCAGACAATTTTGGTTGTTAATTAGCAAAATTGAAGGGATTTGCATGCACCATATTTTTTTCAGGACGCCCTGTATATTTACACAGACATCAAGTAAACTTTTACACAACTGTCAAGAAAACCTTTACCAAACACACGTTACGTAACTTCTATCATAATTGCAAGCGAGTTCGCATATACATATAAATATAATAAATGTTTACACAACCTGTGTATTTTTTTTCTAAGAGTGTGAATACACAACCGTTTTTTAATTTCTCCTTAATTGGAACAGCCAGGTTTTTATTAATGCTGAAAAGTCCTTGTCGTTTACCCTAAAATGAATTCTTGTGCATGGTTCCTACCTAGCCGGACCGAAAGATTCAGTTGTTGGCTGGGACTCATCTTTGATTGTCCAGTTAGTTGTTTGTTCAACACGCTCGTCAACTTCTTTTAATCTGTAACGAGATTTAACACTGATTTATTTACCAACTTACTATACAGGGTGAGTAAAATAAAACAGTGACCGAATTACAAAATACAAATATTAAAAACAAACATGTGGCTCGCTCTGCTTCATAAAAATAACATTGGGATTAAGTACATGGTATGGATTAGTAACTGTGAAAAAATGTCACGTAATTTGCACATTCTATTCCCCAGATATGTCTATATATTTTAATGCAAATGTCACAAAATGCAGCTGTCCACCACTAATCATTTACCATTCTGCGAACTGATGAATACATATTAAATACAATGAAACATGGGTGTTCCTGGTCACTCAATTATCCTTCGAATTAAGGGAAGGGTAGATAGCAATGAATCCTGAATAAAGGTTTTCCTCTAAGTGTACGTAGATTATATTATGCAGAACTAGCCTAGGTCCGGTTCCCGCACCCTGAATACAAAATCACAAAATAATGTTAGCGCGAAACCAGCTGTGCAGTTTGTGTGGTGATGAGCTTCGAGTTTCGCTGAATTAAAAAGAGTCTTTGGCATCTATAAATAAAGAAAGGGGCACGATTTTCAGTACTTTGAAACCTATGCAGTTGATGTGCTTGAACGTTTCATTCATGGAACCACTGGCGATTTTGTCTACTTGTTATGGCACGAGTCGGTTCTGTTTTTTTTTAGATAGCCATGTGTTCAAGTGTCAGGACTGTTATCCATGCGCGAAGCTGTACTCATCATTTTCAAAAATAACCAATAATACCGTGCACGCGCAAAGGTGATCCAATTAATGGCCTTAATTAAATGGTATGGGGGACCAGTCTACCAACGTACACGAAACTTTAGGCTAAACATGTATACTTCATGCACCAACTATCTGTGTACATGTACACATGCATGCGATACAATGTACAGTGCATGTGCATATTATGTGCATTGTGCACGGTGACAATCAGGCGCGGATCAAGGGCGGGGGTTTGGGGGTAAAAAAAAACAGCTCTATCAAAATGTTTTTTTTTCCTATATAAATTCCTAAAAACTAATATCAACCCCAACCCCCCCCCCCCTGCTCTGACACCAAAAACAGTTACACTGGTTTTAATATACGCCTGTGCACAAAATACGGACAGAGCCTGCTTGGTAACGGGGGTATTTGTACACTATCCTGTATTATATAGTGTTAATAATCGTCGGATTTGAACAGCGCCCCCATTGAAAGTATGGTACGAGCCCCCCACCTATTGATTTTACGGAGTCAATTGTCCAGACAAAAAAACAAATCAACATTTCAGCATTGATTTGCTGATGGAACGCCTCCCTGCAAACATTCCCTTGGTGTACATAGCACATCACAAATTCATACCACATGCCCTAGGCCTTGGCCTCAGTTACACGTACAAAACAATAATGGTAAGTTAGAATTGTGTACGCTTTGCAACGAAATGCAAAATTTTGGCATTGCAAAGAAACAAATGTAAAAACTTAAAAATAAGCAATGTAAATGTTCATTTGTTTCAAGTAGAAAACAAAAAAGGAGATTTCCACATTGTTGTGTAGGTCGGGTGAGGGCATCAATAATTATTTTGGGGCTTAATATCTGTTCAATGAGTATCATACTATATAAACCTCCATACAATTACGGATTTGCCATGTAAAAGCTTTTGAAAAGTGGTACTGAAACAAACCACCGATGTTAACTCCACCAGAGATGTTCTGAATGTCATTAGGACAATTATCGAATCATCACTTCCGATTCTTTTCAGAACCACTTCGTACAAACACGATTCATATCCATGTGCTTACATTAATGTCTTGAGAATTACTGTATCGGGGTACCATTGTGTCAGACATATTCTTCAGATCTTACCTCGTATTGTTGATTGCTGTCGACCTCACACTGGCCATTTTAGGAGTACTTTTGCGTAATAGTACATTCTCCCTCCTGTCATCCATCTCGAAATCGGTGGTTGGACTACTGAGCATGACTGAAGTCAGGACCATTAATGTCAATACAAAAAGAATTGATCGGCATATTGGAGTTGACAATACCCGTTTACTGCGCAGTACGACCCAGCGAGAGATGGAAGGACAGGTGATCCTTGGTTTGTCTGGGTAGACGTGTTTACTACTCCACCAGTAATCCTTGGGACGGGCATACCTTGTGTGACGAGAAGCTTCTTCCATGATCATGTTGTCGTTTCCTTTGATTATGAGTAGGGATGATAAACATAGGAGCTTGTCCTATCAATGCACGGAGGATAAATTTTTGATTGAAGTCTTCACAGGACCAAAAGTGGTACCCCGGCCAGGCCGGCCTAACAGGACTGCCGTGTAGGCCTACGTGAAGGGCACCACGGCGTGGAGTTTGACTCCCCGGTTACGATTTAATCTGTGCAAAGGAAACAAAATGTAGTTTGGTGTATTTGCTAGTATTTTTCTATAAATAGATCAACAGTGCACAATGTCAAGGTACGATATATTCTGAACTTTTCCTGGGGAAGCCGTTTAAAACCTTTGAAAAAGATACACCAATGTCTGAAATGTTGCTCGCAACAAAATTATGTTTGAGTGTTTTTTTTTGTTTTATGATTCGCTTTTAGAGAGGCTTGGCGCATCACTCTCCCTTCATTTATTGTCAGTTATAGTCTGTTATTGTCATTTATCGCTGTTTCTTTGCTCGTATCCTCACCCTGCAAAAAGGACGCTGGGATACGCTGATGACCTATGTATAAAGCATCTGGCTGCAGCTGTTCAAGACAGCAGTTAGACAATGTGAGCAAATGCTATCCGAAAACTTCCCATTTAAATTCGCACATGCCATACCGGATGTGATTTCTGTTTCATTGGAAGAGTTTGCCATGTGGCAAAATTGTGAGCGTCGCATAATGATAACGCTATCCGACCGTTTGTGATTCGAAACGGAGCCTGAGCAAGTGACGGCAATTGAAAATTTACAAAACAGATACGTTTGACAGAATTTCTTAAATTATTACGCTTTTCAACGAAAAAAAAACATCTCTAAACTGGATTAAGAGTAATGAATCAGTTTTAACGGCCGGTTTCAAACCTTGCAGAGTCCTGACCGTGATGACGGGCAGGTCACAGGTCACGCAAAATCCAACCAATCAGAACGTGAATTCATCAGAGTATAATAATAATAATAATAATAATAGTGAACATTTATACCGCGCCATATTTGTCAATATGACACTCCTGGCGCAAATTATGAGACGTGATGACAATTTCATACATATAATAGTGGCGCATAATAACTCCATATTTATTCATGCAGTAGCACACAGGTAAGTTTTCAATGTATCCCAGGGTCTTGTTTGCAGGGCGGGCGGGGGGGGGGGGTACGAGCGAACGCTGTTTCACCCTTTCTAGATGGGTCAATACATGTATAAATAATGAATGACTACGGGTGCAATGTTCAGTGTAATGTCATGAGCTGAGATAGATGGAACGTTCCATTCAAAGGGGCCGGCGAGGCCGAGTGGAATGGAACATTCCATGCATTCTGTCATCTAATGAAATTATTTTCTTCCTTGCACGAATGTGAAACATTCATTATTTGTTAAATACTACACTTAGCCTTGGTCAGGGCGTTCGTCATTATCCGCCCGTACGGTCAACCCCGTCCGCAGGGTGTCGAGCAAATGATCCAATACCACTACCTGCTTTCTTACCCTGGTATTGGATCATTTGCATGTGCAATTTTTTGAATACGTATGCAAATAAGGAATAGTCTGGTGTCTGCATGCCCGTTACATTAGCGTTTGATTTTGTATGCGGTGTCTGGGGTAAAAACCAGCATCAATTCGTCGCGCCGTGAGTAAAGCCCGGTTCATACTTCACGCGTTCGCTTTCGCGTGAAGTATGAACCGGGCTTTACGAGAACACGCGATTATTTTCGAAGTAAAAATGTTACAATCTTATCCTGCAAATTATGTAGTATAACATGTCATATTAATATGAGCAATTTGGAAAGGAAAGTTGTATTTCTGCGAAGGCGTGGACGTTATAATTACAATGATCGTGAAAACACGTAATGCACGTTGGATGTAACAACACCAACTACACAATTTTGGTTTCGAATCAGCATACAGGGCTTACTAAACGAGGTTGGAAATAAAGTAAGCACTGGTGACGAGGTTGTCTGTACGGTATAATCGGTGGCATATCCTCGCTATGCAGTGCATGTAAATATACATTGCGAACAGCGACCTCATGCGCCTTGGTCCAATCGTCGGCGAAAGCTTATGTTTTTCATTATTTTGCGCTAGATTTTTAGCGCAGGACGTGGGAATACAGATAAGTGTAGGCGGGCTAATATAGGTTTTCCCGGCCAATTTCGCAAAAATAGCATTCGAATTCATCTTGATAGTGGCCAATTTGAAGCGGAGTAGCGCCCTGCTGTCATTCCCGTTGTTCGTATTAGATTTTAGGCGTTCAAATTCGTTTAAGAACCTGACATTTTCATGTTTAACTTATCATAAATTGAAGTTACGTCATTCGGTTTAGGTGATCATTCAATTTCGCAGTCGGTTTGGTCAAGGGTTATTTGCATGACACATTTGATTTCTTTTTCATTTCCGTGCATTCTATTTAGCACTTTTTGCATTCAAAAAAATTAAAATAAAACGAAGGCATACGACGCGAGTCTTTTTATTTGTTGCACCTTTTTATCATTTCTGTTTTTCCGTTTCATTTTTTTTTCAAAGTGTCTACTATCTGTCTCCTTATTCTAAAGAAGTAAAAATGTAAACAAATTAAACAAAAAGGGGGCATAAAATGAAACAACAAACCTATAGGCAACACTGAACTTAGGTGATGTTTTCCCTTCTTTTTATCGTGTTCGCATAAATCGATATGTTCTTAATTCTTTGTCTTTGGGTTTTTGATCTTCTGTTTTCAAATGTGATTTGTGGTTACATATTTGTTTATATCTCTTCAACTTTTTTAGATGTTTAATCATCTTAGAGTCCCTTTTTGTCTCTCTTTATTCATGAGGATACTGTCTCCTGCAGTCATGTTAGCCATCCATCTCTTGCCGTGCATATACATCTGAAATTCTCACGTAACGCCCATGAGCTGCCATTTTGATATTTCTAGTGCTTCAAGCTAACAGTGGGCATGGTGATCAGAGTATTGGCAGAATCTTGTTGGAGACAGGTTTTATATCCATACTTTCAAATTGGAACAATTTGTTTTCAAATTGTTTTCAAATGTGATTTGTGGTTACATATTTGTTTATATCTCTTTAACTTTTTTAGATGTTTAATCATCTTAGAGTCCCTTTTTGTCTCTCTTTATTCATGAGGATACTGTCTCCTGCAGGTATGTTAGCCATCCATCTCTTGCCGTGCATATACATCTGAAATTCTCACGTAACGCCCATGAGCTGCCATTTTGATATTTCTAGTGCTTCAAGCTAACAGTGGGCATGGTGATCAGAGTATTGGCAGAATCTTGTTGGAGACAGGTTTTATATCCATACTTTCAAATTGGAACAAAGGCACTCCATCTAATTCTAACATACAATGGAATGACATGAACCTATTTCGAATTCATTTGCTTACTTTTCACAAATGCCTGCTTAATGGTGAAATTTAATGACCAAACTTACACAGCTGGAAGCTCCGGCGAATTTGAATGCTCGTTTGTGCAATTTTTTATATGAATGGCCTGTTGTTAAAATTGCATGATTAAAATGTGAAATCGCATGCTTCAAATGTTGAATTGATTGTTTTTTTTAGGAAATTGAATGTTGATCTCAACGTGCATTCAAATTCGTGCGAAAATGAGTGATTGGTCACCAAATTGGCTGCCAAATCTGCTAACTTGGCCTGGAAAACCTATATTTCTTGTGCTTCAAGCTAACAGTGTGCACGGTGATCAGAGTATTTGCAGAATCTTCCATACTTCCAAAGTGGAACAAAGGCACTCCATCTAATTCTAACAAACAACGGAATGACATAAACCTATTTCGAATTCATTTGCCTACTTTTCACAAATGCCTGCTTAATAGTGAATTTGAATGACCAAACTTACACAGCTGGAAGCTCCGGTGAATTTGGATGCTCGTTCGTGCAATTTTAATTTAAATGCCCTGTTGTTAAAATTTCATGATTAAAATGTGAAATCGCATGCTTCAAATGTTAAATTGATTGGTGTTTTTAGAAAAATAATGTTGATCTTAACGTGCATTCAAATTCGTGCGAAAATGATTAATTGGTCACCAATTTGGCCGCCAATTCTGCTAACTTGGCCGGGAAAACCTATATGTGGAGTGTCCAATCACACTTTGGTAAATCACGATGTCATCAAATATTTGCAGCTATTCGCCTTTTGCAGACGTGTCAGAAACAACATTTGTGGGCATTGGTGCTGTGTGTAATGTGAGACATACAACGTTTGTGTGTATAATGTACAGTACATGTCTCACACGTAGAGCTTTATTAAATTACTAGTGCGCTGACTCCTGTACAAAGTGATGCACAAACCTATAGAAAACTCGAAATTGTGTCCGAAGTTTATACGTCTATTTGCACATCTGCATTTGTATTCTATACAGCTGCGTTATCGAAGCTGATTCGCCCAAAGCCGCGACGCACGATCAGCAAATAAGCATTCGCTGCATATGTTTACCATGACTTATTTTTAAAACCGTAATGGCGCGGTTAAGTTGTTTGCGTACGTTCTACTTGAGCGTTGCATTTAGAGTACACCTTCAAAATTCAATCCATCTCAATTCATAATTTTCTACAACATGAATTCAAAATGTCTGCGCCCGGGACGGCTTCACAGCTTCTCCGCGCGAAAGAATGAGGAGTTAGCGCTCTAGTAATTTGATATAGCTCTATGGTCTCACGTTATCGCAATATGACCTTTCAACCCGCGCTTACTATTATGCAAGTATTACGCAGCGGTCGACCAATAAAAAAAAAAGACTTTTAAGGTCAGCTGAGGCTATTAGCATAATAAGCACCATCCTTAAAACCTCACATACGATTGGACCAAGGCGTTAGTCTAGATCCAAGTAATTTGCATATAAATAGTGGCCGTATGAGGTCGCTGTTCGTGCTGTATTTTTTACATGCACTGCATAGCAAACAGTCAGGGTTCGCCGAAGATATACCGCTGAATACCGTACGGACGGATAATGACGAACGCATTGACCAAGGCTAGGTGAAGGCATGCATGGTGCATACCACAAAATAGCAGGGATATCTGAAAATATTCCAGCGTTTGACCATAACGTCTTTCAAATCAATTTATAGATGTTCTATCCGCACTATTGTCGGAAACAGATTATTTACCATGTTGCTTTTGCTAGAGAAAACAAATAATATATCCATTTCGAACGA